CATGGATGCCTTCAATCCCAATCCGGCAGCACAGGGGTAATTCGAGATTTTCCCCTTCTGGGGCTTATAGCTCCATTCTATGATAGTAAGAAACCTAGCTTCCCATATTTTTAATAGATTTAGCTATTTGATCAGTTTCCTTGTATGTAACTGATCACTCATCCTCATTAGCATGCTGTCTCCCATGGGAACACCCCCCTCACCCCGTTTTTGCTCTGATATCCAAGGCCAGTGCACCACCCCCAAGTCCTGTGTGCGGATACCCCCTCGCCTCACCTAGGCTCTGACACCCTGTTTGCTCCCTTACATGGATGCCCAGCTCGTTCCCCCGGGGCTCTGACATGCCAAGCCAGTCTGGACCCCTCTGCGGATGTGCAGCCCTCCCCCATGGCAAATGCCCAAGTCACTCTGCTCCTCCCCATGGCTCAGGACTCAGCTGCCCAGGAGGGAGAGCAGAAGGGCCAGGATCCATCTCCTGATTCTGTCCTGATTCCCATTCCGCAAGTTTTTCCTTTCTTCAATCTTCGTATACCAAAGACTACCGTCCTCCTATTTGCTTAAGCCCAAGATACAAATACCTTTGAGAATTTACCTTTACTCCCCCATTCATGGCCACCCGCAGCAAAGTCATGAGCAACGCCTGTTGATTCATATATATCATGTGCCTGGGTGTGGTGGCTCACCCTTATAATCCTAGCACTTTGGGAGGTCTAGGCAGGCAAACCGCTTGAGTCCAGGAGTCCAAGACCAGCCTGGCAACATGGGGAGATGCCCTCTCTATAAAAAATGGCCGGGCGTGATGGCATGCGCCTGTAGTCCCAGCTACCAGGGGTCGGGGGTGGGTGCTGAGGTGGAATCCGTTGAGCCAGGGTGGCGAAGGTTGCAGTGAGCCGTGATTGCGCCACTGCACTCCAGTCTGGGTGACAGAGTGAGATCCTGCCACAAGAGAAAAACAAAAAAAATAAACCTCACAAATATATATATCCTGCTTTTTTTTTTTTTTTTTAATCTCTCCTCCTCTCCGCTGCACCCACCACTCCCCTTTGGTGTTCCTCTTTCTACTACACCTCACATCCCACAGTCCATTCCCATATAGCAGCAAGGATGCTCTTTTAAAAGCCTAAGGCAGCCAGGCACAGTGGCTCACGCCTGTAGTCCCAGCGCTCTGGGAGGCCGAGGCAGGTGGATCAATGGAGGTCAGGAGTTCAAGACCAGTCTGGCCAACATGGTGGAACCCTGTCTCTACTTAAAATACAAGAAATTAGTTGGGCATGGTGGCACAGCTCTGTAATCCCAGCTACTGAGGAGGATGAAGTGTGAGAATTGCTTGGAGCTGGGAGGAGGAGGTTGCAGTGAGCCAAGATTGCACCACTGCACTCCAGCCTGGGTGACAGAGCAGGACTGTCTCAAAAAGAAAAGAAAAGAAAAGAAAATAAGCATAAGGCATGATGACATTTGAAACCCTCCAATGCTTCCTGCTGTACTTAGAATAAAACTTGAATTTCTCCATGGCATATAATACCTATGTCTGGTAATTAATCTTGGCTACACATTAGCATCACCAGGGGACCTTTTTAGAAGCATTAAGTCTGGGCCTCACCCCAGTCCAGTTAAATCAGAATATTTGGTGGTGTGGCCCAGGCATCAGTATTTGTAAAAGTTCCTGGTAGATCTCATCGGTGTCCAGGGTTGAGAACTAGGCCTCCTCTAACTACCTTCTTATTGCCTCTCCCTATCTCAGTCTCTTGCACTGAACTCTGGCCATGCCATTTTTCTTCTGTCTTTGAACTTCAGGTTTACTCTTGCCTTACAGTTTCCTCGCTTGATTTGTTTCTGTCTGGAAGTTTTTTTGCCCAGATCTGTTAAAGGCTCATTCCTTTTAGCTTCTTAGAGTAATCTGTCCTCAATCACCATATTTAAAATAATGTGCCATGTTACCAGCCATTCTCTGCCATGTTACTTTCCTTGAGCACTTCTTCCTCTTCACACTGTCGTTATCTCAGCTCATCCTACTTGTGTATATTTTTAACATTAGAGTGTAATAATCTTCATGTGAACTCTTGCTTTCCACTACATCCTGGTTCTTAATTAGTGCGTAATAAAGATTTGTAGAATGACTGCATGTAACGAGGAGAAGAATCAGGTAAGGGATCTGTTGGACAGAAAGTGTGCAGCAGCCAGAGAGACATTTGGATCGGTGAAGTGAAATGGAGCAGATGAGTCCTGCCTCATGGAGATTACTTGAGAAGCCAGATATAAAGTAAATAATTTTGACAGTGGAATTAGCAACTCTCTGTTATTTTCAACTGGAGAGGACAGATTTTTATTCTGGATTAGAGCAATCCCAAGGAAGCAGAAATGACTTGTGAGCCTCCTGAAAGAGCAACCCTCAGCCTAGAATACGTTGGTGTTCGCCATGGTTGCTATGAACTTGCTTTTTGCAACTGTTAACTTCCCCTAAATATAGACAAGAGTAGCCCTCTGGACTCATTATCCCCTCACCATTCCCTTTATTTTAATAGTGGAATAACTTAAGAAAGCATCTGAGATCCTGCTGACCAGTTCACACCACCTACCGATTGCAGCCGCCTCTTTGCGTTATGCCTTCTTAAGCCTAATAGCAAACTATATTTAATTATGATCGTCTTACTGTAAATACATGGGATTAATTGGAAAACTGGGTTCTTGCTTGTATGACAACCCAGGTATGTAATGTGGAAATGAGCGAACATACTCATGAACTGTTACCATATCCTGTGCAGTTATTAAAATAGAATTTATGGAGTTCTGACAGTATATGCTTACAGCTCCAGAGGTAGATCTGTTCTCGTATGCGTGATACAAGGAAAATGAACGTTCATGTTTACAAATTCAGCATAATAATTTTGTGCCTTTAGATAGGGCTTATACACACACCACAATTCTAGAGAAGACATAGGAGATTAAAACAAAAAAGTTTTTTCAACAATGACAGGCTTAGGAAGCATAGCTCTGTGATGAATGGCTGTACAAAATACAGTTTACAAAAGTACAGATAAATTCTACTTTGAAAGTGGAATGACGTTTATATTGTGACAGCTTGGCTTTATAGGGCACAGAACTACGAAAACTACTTGGAAAAGATGAATATCTTGTTTCTCAGCCTGCTCCCCTCGCGCTCCACTCTTGTCCCAGGGCAAATTCGAAGCCATTTAGTCATACAAAAGCCCATTTTCACGTTTTCACAGAACCAAGCAAGTATATACACATGAGTACAGACCTTGAGACCTGGGGAGCAATGCTTAGCTTAGTATCCTTCTTATTCCTGAATCTCTTACACTTGGCATCCTAAATCGGGGCAAATGTTTCCTGTTTAGATATCTTTTTCTCAGCCGTGTGCCTCGATGCAAGCCACAGTTCCACAGCGTAGTACCCCATGCCTCCCTGTAAAACGTAGCAAATCCTTTCAATGTCTGAATGCCACAGTTTAAAATATTTGTGAAATATTACTTTTACAATAATATTTGCGAAAATATTATTGAATATATGCCCAAAGAAGGTACATTCAGTTTTCTACTTGTAGTATGTACGAAATAGAGTATGTGTCTATTTTCTGGTTGATTTCATGTAGAACAAATTACAAGAGAGTTCTAGGATCCTATTGGCAGATGCCTGGAGTTTTAATTACAGTTTGCATCTACTCACTGTGTGTGTATGGCTACCTTATATATGTGTGCCGTTACTTTTGGTGGCAAAAACCACAATTACTTTTGCACCAACCTAATACCACAGGGTGTACCTGGGTAAGATGACCACACTGATGCTTTAGTTGATGGGCATGGGGAATGAGAGAAATTATCACAGTGAACTTCCTATAGTAGGTGTTCAGCAAATAGTTAATATAAAAAATCTGTTTAGGGACAGATTAACTTGTATACTCTCTAGAAGATTGAGGGTTGGAAAATATCTGTAGGGGTGTGTGCCTTCATTGGAATTTTTTTTTTTTGGAAACGGTGTCTCGCTCTGTCACCTAGGTTACAGTGCAGTGGTGTGATCTCGGCTTACTGCAACCTCCGCCTCCCAGGTGCTAAGGGATTCTCCTGCCTCAGCCTCCTGAGTAGCTGGGATTACAGGCGTGCACCACCACACCTGGCTAATTTTTATATTTTTAGTAGAGATGGGGTTTCGCCATGTTGGCCAGGCTGGTCTTGAACTCCTGACCTCACGATCCGCCTGCCTCAGCCTCCCAAAGTGCTGGGATTACAGGCGTGAGCCCCACCGTGCCTGGCTGGAATTTTTAAAAGGAAGTTAAAGCCTTTACCTAAAGCCTCAGCAAGCAAACACATAAGATAACACATAAGATCTTTTTATGGGGGTTCGGGGTGGGGGTGTTGCTTTTAGCATTACCAAGAATTGTACACAATTTCGTTTTATTGTTCATTATTTGGATTATTTTTAAAGTGCAAGTATTTGTCTCCATTAGGTATGCTAGTTCAATTTAAAATTTTCCCAGAATGGTGGTTCTTAACCTAGGAACTCAGAAGAGTTACAGCAAATATAAGTTATTAAAAAAATTTTTTTAATAGTATAAGGTGACATGTAGAAAGCATGTATACAATGAAAGTCCATACTTATTCATGCAAAAACATTTGTTAAATGACTGTAAGGTATTAGGGTGATAAGAAACGAGATGTCTTGTGTGTGTGTGTGTGTGTGTGTGTGTGTGTCTTCGTTTTTTTTAAGCTGTTGTTCTGTTCTTCCTCCAAAGGAGTAGAGATGAGGCTTGGTTCTACGTGAATTTTAAATTCGATTGTTATTAAGAGAATACAGTTCTAAAATTCAGTTAGATTTTTATTGTGTAATAAACTAAAACATTCATCTTCTAACGTACTATCTGTTAATCATCTCTGTCAATTGTTGCTTCTCAGTATTGCTAATAGAACACGAGAGTATATATTGCTAATACCTTTCTGATATCCCAGAAAACATAAAATATTTTGTGTTCTCTTTTGCCCTGACAGGTTGGTACAGAGGATATACCCTCCAAAATAAATCTAAAAAGGTATGATTTATCATCCACTTTTAATTTCATTTGAAATCTATCTGCTAGTTTTGTACTGTGCTATGTGACCCTCTCCTCTGCTCTCTGCTGTCTCTAGACCTAGTTTGCTTTCCCTTTGATGGCTCTTCTTTGAATTTGAAAACAAATTCTCTGACCTCACTGCCTAAATGTAATAGTGTAAATCCCATTGACTGTATTTCCCACCAGCCAATTCAAGGAGAGAGTCCTGGAAGAATTTTTACTTCCTGTCCCTCAAGTTAAGCAAGTTGGTAACACATTCATTGCTCTAGTGGGATCTCTCTTTCAGGGAGGGGTGGACCCGCGCTTCTTCCTTTATCCTTTACTTCCCATGCTACAATTCCAGGCTAAAGGATCTCCCCATTTCCGCTTGATCCTTTCCTTCATTGTAAATTGGATAAACAAGAGTGGTTTTCATATTGTGAGCCTCATACCCCAGTAATACATTATGAAATCAATATAGTGGATTATAACCAATTTTTTCCAAAAAATGAAACCAAAAAGTAGAGAACATGAGATGCAATGGTAAGTACTGTTTCGTGAAACTTTTATTTTTGGTATATAATTTATTGTTTTTATTATATTTTATGTATTTCATAGGTAACACTGGTTGCCATAACAATGTATCTCTTACTGTGCAACAAAGGCACAGTTTGAAAAATACTGACCTAAATGGATCCTTTTGCCGGTGCCAAAACTACTAATCATCAGGCTAAAGAAAATCTATTAATTATGTTAATACCCACCTCAGTTTCTTTTAGGTCTTGTCAGCACTTTTCCTTTGATACTGCTCACTGGGGCAGCATGACATGTCAGCACTTCCTTTTGAAAGAGCAGAGTTGATAGGGCCGTATTATTTCACAATTAGTTCACATGCCAAATAGCAAATTAGGAAAGGGATGAGAGAAACGTTTTAGAATTTATCAAAAGAGGAGTGAAAAAACAAAACCAGACCCGCAGTTCTTACTCTTCACGGACAGCATGAGAAAGACGTAATCCTGCACAAACAGGCTGATGTTACACACCCACCTCTCCAAAGAGTATAGGGCCCAGGAAAACACCTTTCTACAAGGTATAGTTCATTAGAAACCAGGACTGCTTCTGCATGATTGATGCTTAAATCACACTCAGTATTTGCACATGTATGTGTGCACATACACATTTTGTTACCTTTGACAGTTTACTAATCTAGCACAATAAAGGAATGTTTGCTTTGAATGCAACTCCTACAATTTTGGTCCTTTTTTCTCACCCCAAGCCAGAGAATGAACTTTTCTACCCACAGTTATTCTTGTGTCACACGTCTTTATTTCAAACCGAATTATTTTCATTTGATCTCTTGCTGACTTCGGTTTCTCTGGGCCGTCAGATAGGGGTCCAAGACAGCAGACTCGCCAGGATAAATGAGAACATGATAGAACTCAAGTGAAAACTTTTCTTCTGGGATCCTCAGTGGCACAGAGTACTTGATGATGGCCACTCCTGCTTTTTTAGCCCTATTGGTGTTAATTTTACTCACGGTTATGGCAGTGGTAGTTATTTCAAAGCACAATTGGAGCTAACAATTTTGATGTTCCGAATTTGTTCAACAGTAAGAATACTTACGTCACTTAATTCCCAGTTTTTTTTTATTTAAAAATGTTAATTTAAAAACAATAAACAAAAAGCCATCCTCAAAATTATGTGATGAACTTAAGGAACAAATGAAACTCTTGTGATTTTTCACTGGGAAATTCAATTACATTCAACCAAGGTCCTAGATCAGGTCTTCCTTTTCGCAGACTACAGTATGTAAGGATCCTTTTGAACATGGAAGACCTTGCTTTCCAAAGTATCCTATGATTTTTTAATACAGTCATTCCTCATTTCCACAGGGGATTGGTTCCAGGATCCCCACAGTACCGAAATCCATGGATGCTCAAGTCTCTGATATAAAATGGCGTCATACTTGCATATAACCTCTGTGTTTCCTCCTATGTACTTTAAATCATGTCTAGATTATTTATAATACCTAATACAATGTAAATGCTATGTAAATAGTTATTATACCATATTGTTTAGGGAATAATGACAAGGAAATAAACCTCTGCTTACTTTTTTTCTATATTTTTAATCATCGGTTGGCTGAACCCATGATATGGAGGGCCTTGTGTATATAAAAATCAATCTAGCTAATAGTGCCATTGTTGTTGGCTTTGAACAGTAGATAGATAGGGTGCCCCACCAGGATCTAAATGATAAATTCTGGATATGTTTTTAATTTTTTTGTGTTCATTAAAGAGCGCTTAAAACCTTTAAGCTTAAAATCTCACCCTTTAGAGGAAATCTTTCAGTGAGAATTTCTCTTTGTTCTCTTGATAGTAAAGAAAAACTTTCTAATTCAATGAAACGATGACACAGACAAGGGCCATGCATTTATTTGATGGTTGTTTTGAGTCGAAATATCCTTCGTGTGGAGAGATCCAGGGAAAATACAGGGAATTCAAATTCAGTTGCTGGAAATTCTGCTCTGCTTCTGACACCCCTTCATTAAGAGATCAGCTCATTAGAAGTGCTCTCCTGTGCTGTGTCCCTCATTTCTCCATCTTTAGGGGACAGAGCTACTTGCAAGCCCTAATGTTTTAATGGAAATTCTTGGTGTCATTTATAAGCTGACTCAGTCATTTAGAGTGATCATAAAAGGAGCTAGTGGTTTTACAAATCGAAGAAGCCAAGTGCTTTTCCGAAACTGATTATTGATCCTGGCGGAATTGTGGGAGTGTGGATAAGGGCAACATCTAGAAAATCATTCGTTTATTTTTCTACTCAAAGTGAGTGGCTTACAAGGAGCAAGGAAAAGCAGAACTGAGAGATAGGCTGTAAATCAGAAACACATGACCTAGGTTTACTCTGACTTTCTGTGTGCCGTCGTGGCATAGGAGACATTCTATAAGCATCAAATTTACCAGAGCAATTCTATGACTGTAAATTGCCAAGTGTCATCATGGAAAGGTGAAGCCTACAGATGACAGAGTGGTAATATAACACATACATACGTACATACATATATTTGAGACAGGATCTCAGTCTGTTGCTCAGACTGGAGTACAGTGGCGTAATCGTGGTTCGCTGCAGCCTTGACCTCCTGGGCTCAAGCAATCCTTCTGCCTCAACCTTCTGTGTAGCTGGGACCATTGGCATGTGCCACCATTCTGTGCTAATTTTTTAATTTTTTGTAGAGACGGTGGTCTCAGTTTGTTGCCCAGGCTGGTCTTGAACTGGGCTCAAGCGATCCTCTTGTCTTGGCTTCCTGAAGTGCTGGGATTACAGGCATGATCCAGTGTGCCCTGCCTTAAATATTCTTTTAATATGAAAACAATCATGTCTGAACACCCAGTATGAATTGTCTGCTTATGATCTGCTTAGATGTCACAAAATTCATCACTGTGCATTTATGTTTCTGAATACTTCTAACTTGAATGTTCTCCGTTTATTAGGGGGGACTAGTCACCAGATTGTGAATGCATGAAACTTTTAATTGGTCCTTTACTTTCTGATTTCAAAAACCTTCAGCAAGGATGCTCTTTTGTAGTAGCAATGTAACATTTCACTTTTGACTTCCAGAATTGGATCCTTGTAACTAAACAGTTTATCCCTGCTCAGCGCCTCCCCCGCCCCACTCCTGCATTTTTATGAGTTTTGGACTTTTTTTATTGCGGTAAAAATATATATAACATAAAACTTACCATCTTAACCATTTGTAAGTGTACATTTCAGTGGCACTAAGTACATTCTCATTGTACAACCATCAACACCATCCATCACCAGAAGTCTTTCATCTTTCTAAACTAAAATTCTGTCCCTTTAACTCCCCATTGTCCCCCATCCCCTGCAAGCTCCTCAGAACCCCCATTGTACTTTCCGTCTTTATGAATTTAACTACTCCAGGTGTAAGTGGAGCCATACAGTATTTGTCCTTTTGTGACTGGCCTATTTCACTTAGTGTAATGTCTTCAAGGTTAATTCCCAACATCCCAGTTTGGTTCCCCACAGAGATGATAGTCAACAAATCATTTACCATGGTGCAGCGGCACAGCAGGCAGAAGAAACACCTACAGTTCCTTAGGCATCCTAGGGACAGGCCTAGAGCTTCCAAACTGCAGAAATCAGGCCCCAGAGGAATCGCACACAGTTTGTGAACTGAACACCCGCCTTCCTCACTGCTATATTCATCAGATGTTTACTCAGTGCCTGCTGCATGCCAGGGACTGCGAAGGACAGTTCCCTGTTTTGATCATTTAAAAAGTTAAATAGACCAGACATGGGGGCTCACACCTGTAATCCCAGCACTTTGGGAGGCTGAGGTGAGCGGATCACTTGAGGTCAAGAGTTCAAGACCAACCTGGCTAATATGGTGAAATCCTGTCTCTACTAAAAATACAAAAATTAGCTGGGCATGGTGGTGCATGCCTGTAATCCTAGCTACTTGGGATGCTGAGGCAGGAGAATTGCTTGAGCCGGGGGGGCGGAGGTGCAGTGAGCCGAAATTGTGCCACTGTACTCCAGTCTGGGCGACAGAGCGAGACTGTCTCAAAGAATGAATAAATGAATGAATGCATGAATGAATAAAGTCAGAAGGCTTATCTCCTTCTTTTTCACTTAGATGGTGTGCCTACGCATGTATCTTTTATACTTATAGAATTTCCTGGCCAAGCTCACCTGACCTGAGAGGTGGCACACTGAGAAAATGTCCTGTCTACTGTGCCCCACAGTAGACACACATTTAATTTTTGTTTTCAATTATTTGATCAGTTTTCCAAAATAGTTCTGAATCCCACCTCCGTAATGAAAGAGGTCATTGTCACCTTGCATCTATGTGTGTACTTGGTCTCATCAGTAATGGAATTAGAGTCATGCTTTCTCACTCATGTTCCCAACGTCTGCCCGCTTCTCAAAGCAAGGAGGAGAAGGGATGCTTTTTTATTTTGGGGCTCTGTGTTTGGTGGGAAAGCATGTGCAGGATCCACTCTGTCATCACCAGTGCTAGGAGCAGCTTGATCTCAAATGTTCTTGCTGTTTCCTGTTTTATTGGCAATGGATTAAAAGAGAGAAAGCAGAGTATTGTACAGACAAATATAGCACATGCAAGTGGATACAAGAACAACCCTGTCAATGTTCACTGGTTTCCTGTCTGAGTGGAGTAAGGATCAGTGGGTATATATGCCTCCAGGCACTGGGACATCCCCTCCCACCTTTATGATCAGCCACCCCTGACGTGTCATGTTCATGGAGTTCACACCAACTCTTCCAGGAATAGGGCTAGGAGCAATTAGCCAACAGTGCCAGCTATAAGCTCCATGTAAGATACCATGAAACAGATCAGCATCACTGTCTCCAGATGGCGTCTCCTCTGTCTGTGCGTGAATATATCACACAGTAAACAGCAGAAGCTTTGGTATGCATAAGAACACTCACATCTGGGACTTGCTTCCTGTTGGTTAGATCTGGTCCTCCATTCTCCGATTTCTGTCCACCAGTTTCTCCTCTTTCTCTTAGGTCTTTCCAGGCCTAAGTGTTCCCCAGGGGCAGTCTTACAATGCTGATGTAGAATTGCCTCTTAGGGATATAGAATGGAGAGCAGTTTGAGACTGTGAGGTGCTGAAAATAACCGGGTAACTAACACCCATTGATTTTGAGTGCATTTGGTTTAAGTGGGAGTGCTGAGAGGAACGACTTTAGAAAAATCACCATGTAGTTGACCCGTGAAAAACATGGGTTTGAACTCCGCAGCACTTACACATGGATTTTTTTTTTTTTTTTAGCCAAATGCAAATCAAAATTACAATATTCTTGGGACATGAAACCTGTGTAGAAGTACATGCAGGTTATGCAGGGCTGCGTGCCATACTTGAGTATGTGCGGATTTGCGTATATGCTTTGTGGAAAGGGAGTTTCTGGAACCAATCCCTTGCATATTCTGAGGGATGACTTATTTTATGGGCTACTGAGTACTGCATAGTTTCCACGTCACCCCTTATGTGAAACCCTTTATGGGAAGCATCTCATGGCAAGTAGCATCTAAGGGGTTTAGGAGCTCACAGTTACACTCCTTCCCATTATGTTATCTCTGAGCTGACACAGCATGTTTGCCTCTTCATTCACAAAGTATTCTATGCTCTCTGAACCCAAATTTTAATTTCTACCTTTTTGATGTTTCCACCATGCTTTTGTTGAGGTAGCCAGCCAGGATAAGTGATGTCCTGCAAACCTGATCTCAGGAGTTTAGCTATTGCCTGGGTGTTCACATTTATTCTGAGGTGGTTTTTGTTTGGCGCTTGTTTTTGTTTTGTTTTTATGGCCATATAACCAAAATTCCTTTCTCTGTAGGGCATTTTCCCTGAAACGTATATCCATTTGAAAGAGGCAACTGTGGAAGACCTGGGGTAAGTTCCAAGCTGGGAAGATTCCCCCAAAATGATGAAGATGTAACATTATCATTAATGATAATCTTAGGGCATTAATGCTTTATGTATGTTAATAGCTCTGTCATCTCAGGCCGGGCATGGTGGCTCACGCCTGTAATCCCAGCACTTTGGGAGGCTGAGGTGGGCGGATCATTTGAGGTCAGGAGTTCGAAACCAGCCTGGACAACATGGTGAAACCCTATCTCTACTAAAAATACAAAAGTTAGCTGGGCTTGGTGATGGGCGCCTGTAATCCCAGCTACTGGGGATGCTAAGGCAGGAGAATCACTCCAGCCCAGGAGGCAGAGCTCACCGTGAGCTGAGATCGTACCACTACACTCTAACCTGGGTGATAGAGCGAGACTGTCCCGCTCCCAAAAAAAAACAAAAAAAAACCTGTCATCTCGTCAGTTCTACTTCTCCTATGAGAGAGAAATGAAGAAAAACTTTTCACTGATATATTTCCTCCTTTGCATTACTTCTCCAGAATACTAAACACAGAAGTAGCAAACTGAGGGCTTTTGCCTCTACATTATTTTTATTACCTGTTCACTGATTTTGTGTGTGTGTGTGTGTGTGTGTGTGTGTGTATTTGCACATATGAACATTTGGGATGCTGACTGATAAGATCTGAGAAGCCCCCAGTTTAGGATCCTTGAGAGATAGATGATTAAGTGACAGCCTGCATTTACCAGCTCTGAGCCTTGGATGAGTCATTTAGCCTCAAGGGGATCCTGGGTTTTTCACAGCATATTAGGAGAAAACGATCTGGCCCTACTTTGATCATGAGCTTGTCATGAGATTTGAATGAGGTAATGTATGCAAATGTGCCCTGCAGATAAGATCTGTTGGCTACGTTTTGGGTATTTGTATTTCTTGCCCACCTCATCTTGCCCACCTCATTTGTCCTGGGAAGTACTGCCTCTGTGACAGCTAAGAGGAGTGAGCTATTTGCTCAAGTGGGAGAGAGAGGTCACTTTGGTGGTGGTGAGTTTCTGGACAGGAGAGTTCTGGAGGCAGTAAGGAGAGGCTGGGGTAGGACTGGAATCCTGGGGCTGATGGAGAGGAGAGTGGGGCCGAGGAGGGAATGGACAGCTGGGTCACAGAGCCATGCAGCCTCACAGCTAGAAAGAGCGTTCCCAGTTGTAGTTCAGCACCATCATTTCTTTATTATTATTATTATTACTATTGGCAAGCTTTATTTTGTATGAACTTGATTTCACAAAATTAGAATGGCAATTCCACTTAAAATTAGCTCATTAAAAAGTGTAAATATCACGGTATAGATAATGGTATCCAAAACTCCAAAAGGTAGTGAAATTGGTAACAGATATTGCTCCTCATTTTTGGACCCATGCAACAGCAGAACTGATGAAACTGGTTCCCAGACAAGTATGTGCCACTTGCTCCCGTGCCTCAGGGAGGAGAGGATGTTAGAACACAGGCGTTTTTGTTGCAGTGACTCGTGGATAATTGCTCCTTATTAACACTGCTAAAATTAGGTTCACATGTTTTACTTTGTGTGGGAGCCGATGACTCCTGTCCTTTCATTTTTTGAGTGGTATCTTTCAAGGCGTTGGCCTCAAACCCGCTCGTTCCAAAATGCGTCACGGATAGGAATTTAAGCCTCTTCACATAGCAAACCACTGGAAATTCGTAGGTAGTTGCAACATTGGTCTGTCACTGACCTCTGATAATTGGGCAACATCATTTCTTTGGAACATCATCTTCTTGATTCCACAAGAAGTGACAAGATAAGAAAACTCATAGTTAAATGAGAACAGTCTTGTTATAGGACAGTTATCTCCCAGGTGTATGTCACCAATTCTAATTTCCGTGTTGTTATCAAAGGGCCTTATTTTCATTCTGACTAACAACCAATCATCAGAACACGTTGAAACTGTTGCTGGGTCGAGTCCAAAACAATTCCAAAACAGTAAAAAAAAAAAAAAAAAAAAAGAGGAAGGAGCCGCCTAAGAGCACAGAGGTCTTCATCACTCCAGACTCCCAGATACAGCACAGGGAACAAGAAATGACAGCACCATCATTTCACAGACAATGGTCAAGATGTCCTCAAAGCCACGCAGGTCTTTGGTGGCAGAACCAGGACCAAAAACCAGGTCTCCTGCCCTGCTGGAGAAGTCCTCTTTCCGGTGGGCCATGGGCTCCCTCCACTACTGCCCACCATGTTGGTGGAAACGTAGGTGGAGAGGCACATTCACACCAGTGAGGGTTGTACAGGATGCCCAGTTACATTGGCAATTCAAATAGTAAGTAGTTTTTCATAGTGAGCATTTCCCAGATATTTCATGGGTCACACTTACTCTAAAAAATCTTCTTACTCTACCAGAAATTCAAACTTAACTAGGCCTCCTGTATTTTTCCTCATTAAGCCTGGCAGTCCTACCACCAATTCCCATTTGTTTGCTTGCTCTTGCTTTCTCCTTTTTACTTTTTGCTAATCATAAAAATGCCAGAGAGGATTTATGTGAATAAACATAGTACATAGTACCTACCTTTATGAGAGTCTTCTGTGAGTAAGCAAGGATTTTGTTAAGTGTACATTTTCTATGTTGTGAAACTGCAGATGATAAGAAAACACTGGACTATCCAGAAAGGGATTCTGCCTCCGTGCCCTGCACCCTGACCCTGGCCCCTGCCCCAACCAGGTTCTGGGTGGAGTCATAGCCCCAGGACACTCATGCCACACACACCTTTCCATCCAGCCTCCCAAATGAAACAGCTGCTTGGTGGTACCAGCTAAAATGCTGCATATTTTGCTTCCATCTTTGAGAATCACTAAAGCCAGCCTGGCTCAGTAATTGAGCCTCCTGGAGAAATCCACATTGGGGAGATCGAGGCTGGGCTGCAGGCTTATTCAGTTGCAGGAACTGAGCCCATTTTGAGGACTGTGCTGTCTTATTCTCTCTCTTCTCCCAGATGCTTGGATGTGATAAAGTCCCCCGCACAACTCCTGCCCTCATGCCCAACCAGCTTCATTCTCATCCTTGCGCATTGGGGAGTCTGATCCCCATCAAGTAAAGCAGTACCGATCAGCCTGGAATAAAGTGACCCTCATTTGGTTCTTTGCAGGCAGCATGAAACCGTGATTCCTGGTGAGCTCCCCCTGGTGCAGGAGCTCACGTCCACTCTGCGAGAATGGGCTGTCATCTGGCGAAAGCTCTACGTGGTGAGTTTCCCCTTGTGGCTTGAAGCCCCAGGTTCACTCTGGGTCCTCAGCCTGTAGGTCCTTTACAGGGTGTCAGCTCCTTATTGGCTGACTTCATGGAGTGGGATGCATCCTCCCTGGATCACACAAGGCTGATAAGCAGCAGATTCTTATTTCCCCAGAGCTGGGTCACGGATAGCGGGTAGTGGAGTAAGTGGGCGTAATCGTTCTAGCTGTCTTTTCTCAAATGATAAACATGCTGATTGTGAAAGTACTAATGATAATAATCACCACAAACACTTCTGCAGTCTTTCCTAAGTGCCAGAAACTATGACTCCTCACAACATTCCTGTACAGTAGGGGCAATTATTATTAATTTGTTAATAAGGAACCTGAGTCATGCTGTTAACCTGTTCATGTATACCAGTGAACTGAAATTTGTCAATATTCCAGGGCTTAGCCGCGTGAGGATGACATTCTTTACCTTGGCCCGCATACCTTACAGACTTAGAAACTTGAATAGTGTTAAGTTGTGGTCTGAGAGTCACCTTTTTGGCAGACTCACAGTATTCTTTCTCCCAACACTGGTTTGACCTCAGAATGCTAATACGGTGTGTCAGTTCACAGGGAAATTACAAGGAGCCAGTGCATCCTCTCCATGATAAACAGGAATCGGAACCAAGTAAATCTAGCGTTTAACATGATCAAACTGAGAACAGCTACCAAGGATGCTCAAAGTCTATCCACAGCAAGCCTGCCTCATCTCCCGTGTAGAAAGCTCTTTCCTTAATGTTAACTTTGGAATCCACAAAGACTTTTTATTTTTTATTTTATTTATTTATTTTTTGAGACTGAGTCTCGCTCTGTTGCCCAGGTTGGAGTGCAGTGCCATGATATCGGCTCACTGTAACCTCTGCCTCCCAAGTTCAAGCAATTCTGCCTCAGCCTCCCAAGTAGCTGGAACTACAGGCGTGTGCCACCACGCTTGGCTAATCCTTTTTTTTTTTCTTTTGTATTTTTAATAGAGATGAGGTTTTACCATGTTGGCCAGGCTGGTCTTGAACTCCTGACCTCAAGTGATCTACCTGTCTTGGCCTCCCAAAGTGTTGAGATTACAGGTGTGCGCCACCATGGCCGGCTAATTTTTTGTGTTTGTTTTTAGTAGAGACGGGGTTTTACTATGTTGGGCAGGCTGATCTTGAACTCCTGACCTCAAGTGATCCACCTGTCTTGGCCTCCCAAAGTGTTGGGATTAACGGGCCTGAGCCACTGCACCCCGCCCACAAAGACTGTTTATTCTAAAGTTGCTTCTTTGCCTGCAGCCCTTGTAGTTCAGCATCACTGGGTCTTGCCTCTGTTAGTGGGTTCCAGCCTTCTGTGGCTGACCAGAAATTCCTATGGCAAATGTTTATTCTCTCGTTAGATGTGTGTACAGGCTCAGGGAGGTTGTAGACCAGACTTGATGGCCTGGCAACTTTCCTCTTTTCTTTATGTGGCTTTGTTTATCTCAATTTTTGTTCAGTCATGTGTTGATTCATTTTAACTCTCAAAAGCCAATCCTAATAAGTTACTGGGAATACCTCAGTCTATATCTTAAATACTGAAGGCAATAATCGAAAGCTCATTTTGGCGTAACTTCTAAGAGTTCATGGAAGGTGATTCATTTTCATTCAGGGCTGTTGTTTCCCTTGGTTAATCACAGCAGCAGAAATCAACCCCTTTGGTGGAAAAGCACGTGGTATTTCTCTACTTGGTCATCCTTCAAGACCTTGTTTAGATACTTTCTTCTTTCTATTGTATTTTCTAAACATAGCCATCTATAATGTTTCCCTCTGGAGAGTGGAAGCACTTACTGCTGAACTCATCGTCTGGCCCTTGGGGCACACTGCTTCATAATAAAGGTGATCTTTTGATCTCTTTATGTTTAGTTGAAGAGAGAATGCACGTTAAGTTCCTAAATAACAAGGAGGATGGAGATGCTACCGTCAGCCCCGTGGCCTTCATCGATCATCTTGCACTTATATTTGAGCACTACTCCGTTCCTGGCTTCTCGGTTGCTATTGGATGGCCTACGTGGGTGGATGTAACAACCGCGCGTTGCATGGATGAGGAATTCATGTACATGTTGGGTTCCTTAAACATGTCTTTCTGGAAACTGGCGATCGAGTGTTTGGCAATGCAATTAATAACAGTATTGGCCACAAGAGGAGTTTTTTTTTTTTCTTTTTTAAAGATGTCATGAGAATGAGAGTATGATGGAAGGCGCTAGTTTTTTTTCGTGCTGAAACACAACTGGGTCCGCCCAGTTTATTTACCTACGTGTCCTCTACACATTCCACCAAGTAACTGGCCCGAGGCGTCCCTACCATTGAATAGAACTGAAGAAAGAGGTGAATGGGCGCCAGGTGGCTCAAACACCTGCTAATTCCCAGCACTTTGGGATATGACGCGGAGGGCGATCACTCTGAGGTCATGAGTTCGAGAACCAGCGTGTCCCAACATGGGTGAAACCCTTCTCTTACTAAAAATAGTACAAAAATTAGCCTGGGCATAAGGCTGGGCTCGTTGCGGCCTGTAATCCCAGCTACTTGCGGAGGGGCTGAGAAGAGAAGCGCTTGAACTGGGGAGGCAGAGGTGTGCAGGAGGCCAAGATCGGATACCCGAGTCCGCACTTCAAGCCGTGGGGGACAAAGGAACAACTCCATCCCAAAAAAAAAAAAAAAGCGAGAAAAAAAAAGAAGTGAGTGGGATGAAGAGATTAGACTTCAAAATACTTTTGGCGTGCCCAAAAATCTCTTCTTAGGTAGTGTAAAGGCGTGATAAGGTCTTAATGAGCCCATTTCCTTGATGGGAGATTTCATGTGTTAGTCACAGCATTTGGTTTTAAACACAAAAGCAAACACACGCCGCGGGCGACTCACGTGTTAATTTACCACTTTTGCGGGGGGAGGCAAGATCGGGCGGATACAAGGACAGGACATTCAGGACCCACAGCTGGCCAACAATATGGTGAACCACCCATCCGCTACACTACAAAAATACAAAAATAGCCTGCCGGGCATGGGCTGGAGCAGGCGCCTGTAGGGTCCCAAGCCCTACTCAGGAGGCTGAGGCAAGGAGAATCGCTTGTGGAACCGAGAGGCGGAGGTTGCAGGAGCCAAGACTTGTCCCTGCAACCTCTATTGCCTCGGGAGACAGAGGAGACCCCGTTTTAAAAAAACAAAAAAAAACAAAAAAAAAAAAGCCATCCCTCTTTTTTTCCGGCAAAATCTGCTGGCGCGCGGGGGTCGAGGTGCTCACAGTGGGGGCAGCACATTTCTACATTTTTATTTTAATTTAGATACTAACTGAACAGTAATATTTTGGTAATTGTGAATACAATTTTAAAAATGTCTTGTTGCTAACTATCCGATTGACTAAAAGACATTCATTGTACAAATTCTCAATCGGTTGATAGGACTGAGAAACCTGCTTCTGCTTTTGATACATGCTCATCCAGTAAGGAACAATCTACTAAGATTTGTTATAGTTAGTGCAAAAGTAATTGCGACTTTCACCATTACTTTAAATGGCAAAACCCACAATTATTTTTGCACCATCCTAGTATTAATTGTGACTTTCTCTTTTTTTTTTTTTTCTCTTTCCCTTCCTAAAGCATTGACAGTTCATTTCAGGCAGAATTTCTGAACTTCTTACTGAAACATTTCTGTATCAAAGTAGCAAACCTCAATATTATGTTTCACTAGGAAACAAGGAAAAACGCAAATCTCTGGTTTTCATGTCCCGTCTCCTTTTACCCACTGTACGCTTTTATTGATGTTTTTGCTTTCTGATTCTGTAAGTTCCTTTAGTCCATGTAAAGACAAATATAGATTTTACTAGTATGTAGCAATACTTGTATTATTTCTCTCTTGCATTTCGCCCTGTAGATTACCACACCAGGCACTCTGTTTGATGTCTTTAAAGACACTTGTGGCCAGCATAGTGGCTCACGCCTGTAATCCCATCCCTTTGGGAGGTCAAGCCTGGGAGACTGTTTGATTCCAGCAGTTTGAAGCCAGCCTGGGTGACATAGCAAGACCTTATCTCTACAAAAATTCAAAAATTAGCTGGGCACGATGGCCCACACCTGTAATCTATAGGCTACTCAGAAGGCTGAGGTGGGAGGATTGCTTGAGCTCGGGTGTTAGAAGCTGCAGTGAGCCATGATTGTACCACTGCTTTCCAGCCTGCGTGACAGAGTAAGACCCTTTCTCCAAAAAAAAGATACCTGTGATGTCTTAGAAATCCCACATTTCTATAGTACATGTTCTTGTTCTTTTCAGTTTCAGTTCACCAGAAATGTACGTTGTGGATCCACAGTCTCATATGAGGGGAAAATGCAATCCACTAACCAGATAAAGCCCAGCCATGTAGACACTGGTGATTATTCCAGAAAGGAAAAATATTTGCCTAACTGTGATTTATTTTTAGCAGTTATACGGTAACCATGTAGAATAATCATAAATATGTCTTAAAGGGGAGGGGAGTGTGTACACCGAACAGAGGTGAACCCACTTATCCAAAATGGAGAGAAGAGATAACTCCCCCCACGGCCCCTCTGTTCCTTAGGTGTATTATTACTGTTTTCTCTTGTATTATCTTCCCTAGTGGGTGTTGGCCTTATGCTCAGGAGAGGAAGTGGGTTTTAGGAGACACACACTGGCCCAGGAATTGGGAAGCTGGATATCCTGTGTGGGTCCTGTTCTAACCAGTTCTGTGGCCTTGGGCAAGTCACTTGAACACTTCAAGTCTGCTAGATGTTGTTCCTCTGCGAAAGTTGATGTAAAAGCTGCCTTGTTGACCGCATAGAACTGTGAGAGTATGGAAAGAGAGAGTGGCTGTGATCTATGTTGCTGACAGACTGTCAAGGACTCCGCCAATGGGAGCATGTGCTTTTGATGTTATCTTAGCTGGAAACAGTAGCCATCTGGACACCCTCCTCCTGAGAAGCCTTGGCATAGCTTCCCTCTTACCCGACT